ATATATATATACTGAAGATCCTTGAAGTTTTCCTCAGCAGTGGTACATCTTTTAAATAGGACACAGGCCCTCCACATACTGTTTGACACTCAAAACTAAATACGGTCGTTTTCAAAACTGGACATGATTGAGTAGTTACTTTCTTTCTTTTTGTACTTTTGGCAATCTCTGCAGTCCCTGGATGGTCATGGAGCCAACAAAAAAATAAAAATTAAAAAAAAAATCGCCCTCCCTGATCCACAAAGCTGCCCTCTCTCATTACAAGGAACTGTCATTACAGACAGATTAACCGTTACATCTCAGTTAATTGACACCAGAACATTTGCCATTTTTTCATTTTTCACTCATGGATTGGAATCAATGGGCAGCCACCGAAGAACAAAAAAACATCTATTAGCTGCCTCTAAATCCAGCCCCTCCAAATCTATGGAATCCATGGACTATTTAAATTAAGAGAAATTAGTGACTCAGTTTATGTAACATACTGAGCATAGATAATTCAGTTTATATGGTTTTAAGTCACAGGATGCTCATGGAATCAAACAGGAAGCATGATGGCAGTTTGTTGGTTAGTAATTAGAGGAATAATCAGCAATCTGGGTGGCTTCCATACTAAAATCACTGCTAAATCATGTCTAACTAGACTTATTGATTTCAGTGTATCCAAGTCTAAGCACAAGACGGATTTCAGATCCACTCATGATGGGGACATTCCAATGGATGGCAATAAATGTACACAAGATTGTTTTATCAGGTGATAGCATGCCTGGGAAACTGGAAATAATGGATTTAAAGCAACAGCTGGGGTGAAGCAGCCACTTCCCCCGAAAATATAACCCATCACCCCTTCCATGACTCCACTCATTCGGTGATAGGAAAAGTGCATAGATATGGGTATCACATGATAAATTCTCAGAAAAGCCAGCCCTATCAAGAGGCAAAGTGAGGCAACTACTTCTGGCAGCAGATGCCAGAGTGTGGCAGCTCCCTGGCTGTTCTTATAAACTACTCTTAAATTCTCCAGTCCTTCCCCTCTCGGGGAGAACAGCCTAGTCTGCTGTCTCCACTGTGGTGCACAGGACAATACCCCAGTGTCAGTCCTCAAGTAAGAAGAATGAACTTCGAATTGAGTCAGCTTGTGTAGATAGACTGGGGTGGGGTGAGGGTTTCTGTTTTGTCCTTGGGCAGCCAAATCTCTTCCGCCAACTCAGATTATTGGACACAATTAAGACTCCAATGGGATTTTCTGCTGCTGCAAGCAGGTTCCAGAAGCTTGGAAACCAAGACCCTCCTCTTGTGCAGGCTGAGGCAGAAACACATCGTCCTTCTCTCCCGACTGCACTGCACAGAAGAATCCCTGCCTGTTAAGGGACATCTTGAAACTCTTCTCAGACGTAGGGTGAAACGTCAAGCACTTAGAGAAGCCGTCTGGGACTACCAGCCAGCACAGAGAGTGGGCATCCTAGTCGCAGGACTTGGGAGAACAGATTTTAAAATGTAAAATGTTCACACTGAGTAACGGTGCACACGGTCACTGTTTAGCTGCAAATTTACCCCCATTACGACTTCGACAAGCAGCTTTCTCCCACTTCATGGTCCCTTCCCTTATGTTTAAAATCGGCATTTGTTAGAGAAAGAGACCTGTGAAACTCGGAAACTGGCGCATCACTTTCAGCGAGGGATCCACCTACATATTTCCCGGAGAAGAGAAGAAACACATCTGTCTGGAAACGGTCGAAACGAGGCTACCAGCTCGTCTTGGTACCTCTATTTTAATGGAAAGAGATCATTTTTCACTCGCAGATTTCCCCTCGACTACAGGGAAAACACAAGAGTCGCGACCTCAAGTGCCTGCATCCATGACCGGTGCCTGGGGTGGCCGCAGGAGGGCTGGAAAGGGCAAGGCCCGCCCTCGCGCTGCTATTGGTCCGATTCCCTCGAAGCTCCGTCGAGAGGGCGGAGTTATAAAAAGCCCAACTTTCCCTGTCAAGAGATCGACACCCGCGCCGGGTCCCTTCAGCTGCTCCCTCAGCAGGAGGTCTCTCTCGTCCATCGTTAAGGTAACAGAAGCTCTCGCGCCGCCGCCTTGAGAAAACCGGGGCTATGGTTGGGATTTTGCAAATTATCTTGATTTTCAGGCATTTAAAAAAAAAAAAAACTGAGCGAGAGCGCCGTGGAATACGATAGCACAATCCTGTTTCACGGCCCGATCCGCACGTTTATTTCAGAAGCGGTCATCATCATCTTAGAAATGCAGAGCTGGAAGAGACCCTATGGATCATCGAGCCCAGCCCTTGTCAAGGAGGGACGGTGGGGAATCGAACATACGGTCTCCTTCTCTGCAACCAGATGCCTCGAACCAATGAGCTATCTAGCAATTCCACGTCTCTGCCTTCAGCAGAAACAATGAGCAATAATTACGCTTTTCTAAAAAATAACTGATAGTAGGTGGTGCTTATTAAGGGAACGGTGCTGTAATTCGATGCAGCTGGGAGTAGGTGTCAGTAGGGTTTACTTCTGAGTAAGTAAGTGACTGCAAACTACTGTAGTGGCTGCGATCCTGTGCACGTTTCCTCAAAGTAATCTGCCCAATGGGGAACTCAGTGGTGCTTGTTTCTGAGTAGACCTCTGTACTGGATTGTGCTGGTTAGCAGGTCAGTCTTCACAAAACAGCTCATTCTGAGTCTGGTGAAGTATCATGAAGTCACTGAAATAAAGGAGGCTGGAGACTGCAGGGTATAAAGAAAGAGGGGAAATGTCTGCCCCCCTTCTTTGTGAACTTTGAAAAGTTGCTGTCTGCTTGGCAGTTTTGAGCTGGCCCTGTCATCAGTCTCATCAGGGTGGCTGCATCGTGAGAGAGCAGCCCAATTCAGTTATTTTTTACTGGTGGTGGTGGTGGGGGACTTGTGGAATTTAGACCAACACAACTGGTCTGGCTTTACCTGTCCTGCACCTTTATTTGGGGGAAGTACCATTTGCTGTTTTGTCTCTGATGTCAAATGTTTTAGGTGGGTTCTGAGCAAATGTAAAGCTCTACATGTCAACAATAGGTTGTTTTGCCTTAAGGCATTGTAATAACTGAAGATAAGATAATAAATAGGCTTTAATCAGGTTGTCCACAGAGCTTGTACTAGTAGCTGAATCTTCTCCTGAAAAAAAAAACTAATTTCACTCCCTTCCAACAGCAGGTTAAAGAAATTTTCCCATATGTTGGCTTCAGAAGAGCTATCAAATGTGTAGTAGAACTTGGAAGAATTTGGAAGTAACTAGTTAAATAAGTTGGTACTTTTTTTAGAGACAGTATGTTACAATGGCAGCTTAACCAAGGATGACATCACTCCTTTTGTGATGTAATTACCTTTATAGATAGTTGCAGGAATATGTCATTACTAAATGATGGAGCAGGAATATCATATTTTTCAAGGGCTTGTCTTGTGCTATGTGTCAAGGTCTTTTGTGAGTCTTGATATAAAGATGAGGTAGACTGGAGGAGAGTGTTTGGTACCATAGGTCAATTGTTTGTGCCTTCAGATTTTTATGAGATATTTAAAACAAACAATTTTAGTTAATTTTAGTAACTTCAAAAGTAACTAGTTACTGCTGAGAAATATAAATTATAGTTAATGCAGCAGTTAACTCTTAGAAAGGCAACTATAACTAATTACTTTTAGAATTATATTTTCAAGGCAACTTTCTCAGAATTACATTAATGAATCATTAACTTGTTTGGCAACAGAGGTTAAAATTTTACCTCCTGCAAGTTCACTGGAGATCACTGTGATACTTCCTGCAAGGCACATATATAATTTTAACATGTAATTTGAAGCTTGGTATATAATTTTAGGGGATGATGAATTATATGCTTCTAAGCAATTATTGAGTGAAATCCTCGAAATAAACTCATTGGGCTCAGGACTATTGCATAATAGTCCTCTACCCAATCTGAAAGTGCCCCTAATACTTGGTTGCCAGCAGAAAGATTACCTGTAGCAATCCTGTGCACAGGTTTTTTTGACAGATAAACTTTTAAAAAATGGCTCCCAAGGCCTGGAAAGAAAAAAACAGAAAAATTGGGGGGAAACAAGTTTTTTTTGGGGGGGAGGGTTTCTGGAAAAAAAATATGGAATATGTTCTTTTACAATCATGAATAATATACTGTATCTATTACATGGTATTTAAAGTATATAACATGAAGACCTTAATGAAAGACTTCTGAGATGTTATGCACTTTAGTTCTCTTCGAGATGTAAAATTTCCCAAATTTTCAGTTTTTTTCTGGAAAAAAAGTATGTTTCCCTTTTTTTTTCCAGGCAGAAAATGGAATTTTTCAGGAATTTTACATCTCTACTATAGAATGGTATGATAATGGACAGCACAGGAGACTACAGAATGTAACATACTGGGAAAAATCCCCTCTGATTCAGTGGGCCTGCTCTAGTTGTGACTTACTATAGGATTTCAGTCACTGTAGAGCAAAGGAATAAAAAAATCTAGATTTTTATTTCCCTAAAGAATGGGATTATATATATAGCCATCCAGCATATAAACTCCCAACCTCTGGCTCCACTGCCAGATATCTAAAACACCAAGCTATCCATCCAGCTATAGCTTGGTGTTTTAGATATCTGGCAGTGGAGCCAGAGGTTGGGAGTTTGATTCCCCATCGTGCCACCCTGAGAGTACAGCCAGCCTGTGTAGCCTTGTGCAAGTTACATAGTCCCAGTGTCAGACAAGATGCTTAACTCCCCCTATGAGTCCTACAGAAATTCCACAGAAATACTGACTTAAAAAAAAAACTCTTATGCCTCCCTAGCACTCCTGTACCATCATTCAATCTCCTTTTAACAAAAGAGTGGTATTTATAATTTAATATTAAACATGAACTCATCAAGTGCAATATTTTATGGGGTGTTTGGGATCATTGGCGACATACACAAAGGAAATATGTATTGAATACAGGCATTAATAAATGTTTTGCTTCTGTTTTAAGTACGCCAGGTCAGTTGAGAGATCCTGAAGTAGGCATTTCCTTTTATTCTGATGCTGGAATCAGGAGCATTTGGAGCAACAGAATAGGGGCAACAGAAGTAGCATTTCAGCTTCCAGAAACCCCAGGCTTCATGGCTGGTAGTGATTCCGGGAGCTGCTCCAGAGTCCCTGGAGGCCTGAAGATTCTCCATTGCTGAGAAAAGGATTTCTCTTTGACACTGGCAGAGCAAGGGAAAAGGTGGATAAGATTTTCAGATCACAATATGGAGCGGTTTACCTTTGTAAATTTACCACTTTATGTGCTCCCTATTATAGGTTGTTTTTCCATTTTTTATTACTTTTAATGTGTCCTGTTTCAGATTTTAAAAATTACTTGAAAAATATGGAAGATGAATGGGAATTGTTTCTTTATTCTTTCTCTCTCAGTAACAAGATCCTTTCTAAAGGGAGGTTGGCCTACTGTATTTGGCTTCTTTGAGAACTTAGCTGGGAAAATGGCAGGTAAGATGTACTTTTCTTCCCCTTGTTGCCAAGACTAACATTATTTCTCAGTTATCAAGGTTTAATCACTGAGGGTCTGGTCCAGATAGACCCCCAATAAGATCATGGCCAGCTGCACACTGTGTGTAGGCATCCTTCAGTCTCGAGAGACTATGGTAACGTGCTCTGTATGAAGGTCTTGGAACAGTGTCTCGTGTGGCTGAGAAGGCCAATTCGAGAGTGACAATCTCTTCCACATTGAAGACAAATACAATCTGTCCCCTGTCCAGCTCCCTGGTTTTGCTTGTTTCGGGACTACCTCTTTTTCTTGGCCTGCTGTACAAGTGTCTCTTCAAATTGGGAGAGGCCATGATGCAC